TTACAATCGAGCACAAATTGTGTTCTTGAAAGCAAAATGAATATTGAAAGGAAATTTGGCTTGAATTGCACAAACTTGATGTTTGATGCTTTCTCTCTTGTTTCTCTATGATTTCTTCTTTCTTGTTTTGATCAATGGCTTCAGAACTTGTTTAAATACTCCTTCAAATGATTCTGAACGTTGGGGATGGTTAGTGGAGTCAATATAGCCGTTTAAGTGTGAAAACAATTAATAAAATCAGTTGGGAGCGTCTGTGCATCGATGCATACCCATGGCGCATCAGTGCATCAAGTGTAAAATTTAAATATTTTGACTGTTGGACCCTTAGTGCATCGGTGCACTAAGAGTGCAACGATGCATGAAATGCATTCGATGTTTCAAAATAGCCAGAGTGCATCGATGCATGGCTTGTGCATCGATGCATCAAATGTACTGAGTGCATCGATGCATGGTATGTGCATCGATGCATAAAATGCATTTGATGTTCAATTAATTCCATAGTGCATCGATGCATGGATTGGTGCATCACTTCGAAAAATTGATTTTAGGCTTGATTTTGGTTCAAAATACTTTGTGAAAATTGTTTCAAAAATATATTAAGTATAAAACACAATTTTACACATTTAGTAAGGTTTGAAAATGATCTTGAAAGACTTGGAGTAATATTTTGATATTCAATTAATTAAATCGAATATACATAGAAACTCTTTTGTAAAATCTTAAAATTCATTTATATTTAGTTTGTTATATCGAAACATAAAAAATGTTTTCAACAAACTGACCCCCTCTGACTACTTCCTTAAAAGACATGGAATCCCTTATCGAGGGCTTCCAAACTTTGTTGATATTTTTGTCATCAACAGACCTCTGAAACTTTGGATCTCCCTTATTGTCGTGAAAAACTCTAATCTTAAAGCCATTGATAATCCTCTCATCAGCTCTACGGACTGCTAAGTCTGCTTCCGATTGCCTTCTGAACCTAACAAAAGCAAAAGTTGAACTAGCTGCTACACTTTTCCTGCTTCTGAACACTATAAACACATCGATCACAACTCCATAAGAATGAAACACCTCCTTAAGGATTTTAGGATGAATCATTTTGCTCACATTGTTTACAAACACAGAATAATATTTCAGACCTCGCTCACACCTCTCCATTAGATCGTACAAACAGAATAATATTTCAAAAGAATTTTAACGTTTATTAAACATTAAACAAAATGAGTTTTATTTCTAAGGAGTTTTCCATGAAATGACTACATTATTATTATTATTATTATTATTATTATTATTATTATTATTATTATTATTATTATTATTATTATTATTATTATTATTATTCTCACATCTTTAAATCAACCATATAAATATAAATATAACATAAATTTTCTAAATGTGTGAGACTTTCAATCATAAATACGTATATATTCATATTATATTTAAACTTATCACATTACATAGTTTTTTTAATTATGAGTAACGTTTATCATATGTAAAACTACAAACTCTGTGAGAAGAAGAAGAAGAAAAGAAGAAGAAGAAGAAGAGAAGAAGAAGAAGAAGAAGAAAAGAAGAAGAAGAAGAAGAAGAAGAAGAAGAAGAAGAAGAAGAAGAAGAAGAAGAAGAAGAAGAAGAAGAGAATTATTGGGTTAGTTTCATTATATTTTCTTTCAACCATTAAAATCTTTTTTCTATATCTATAATTTAAATAAAATATTAATATATGATAAAAAACACGTTGAATTTATAAAAAAAATATTATTTGACAAAGACAAGTTGTCTCTAAAAAGAATTTAACTTTTTTATTAAATTTAACAAAATATATCTATAATTTAAATAAAATATTAATATATGATAAAAAACACGTTGAATTTATAAAAAAAATATTATTTGACAAAGACAAGTTGTCTCTAAAAAGAATTTAACTTTTTTATTAAATTTAACAAAAAAATCCAACCCAAAATCCCTATAATTTAAAATTTTCAACTATAATTCTAAAAATCCATATTATAATCGACCCCTGGTCAATTTATTAACATGGGTTGGGTTCCAATTACCTTTGTTTACCTAATAAATTAAAACCAATTTCCAAACTTTTAAATCGAAAAAAAATTACGAAACTAAAATATGTAGTGGATTTATTTGGATGTAAAATACATAATACCTGCGAATACTTTTATTTAGAAACGAACATAGATTTTTATATAAATGTATAAAAATAATAAATTATAATAAAATTTCAGAATGCAAAAAATTTGTAAATCATATTTTAACTTAATAAAAATTATGATTTTATTCCTTTTTATCATCCTAATTATACCCAATAATGTAAGACTGTCCAAACAAAAATCTTATAAATTATTTATGAAAAAGATAGGATAGCAACCACACACGCACAAAAAAAAAGTTGTCTTTTTTAAGGGATTGTTCGACATAAGAAAAGAAGTTGAGACAAAACAAAGAGAGCCATCTCAGCAATTGGATCAATGCTCCAAATACGAAGCCACTTTTGTCATTTTATTTTGAACATAATAATATTATTAAAATGTAAAGTCCAAAAACTCAAAAAGAACATATACAATATTTGTATGGTGACAAATACAGTTAAGACATTGTTAAAGTGCAAATACAAATATTCTAATTATATATAGATATATGAATTATATTTAATTACATGTTGAATAATGGAGAAAATTTAACGTCTAATTTGGTATTTCATTTTTTTTCTTAATTAGATATCCAGATTTCAAAATCCATATTCTTACTTTAATATTTTTGTGCACTTAAATATCTAAACTCAACTTTTAAATTTAAGATGGAACTTGAACTTGGGTTTATGGTTTGAATAAATTATTTAGTGCAAATATTAACTTATATTAAAAACTAAAGTTTAAATACTAATTGTTAGATATGGACTCCTCCAATCATACATTGCTTTATGTTAACTTGTTTTTCACTTTTATATTTCTAATTAATGATTTTATAGTCATAATTCGAGTTATAGAATTTAAAAATTGTTATTGCGAATTTGGTTAATGATATTAAACAGATACAAGATGTATTTTTCTGTAATGAACTTTTAGTTGCATAGTAGTAATTCTTAATCAATCTAGATGTACTTCAATAAATATTACGTGAGAATTGGAGTTGTTGAAGACTCGACGACGAAATTTAAAAAAACATATGACTTAAATAAAAGTTAAAGATTTGAAAATCAATTTTCTAATAGAACTTGTGTCAATAGAAAGATTGTTAGATATTAACTCAAATTCTTAATAGAAATTAAGTTGAATTTTGTTATAATTCTACTTGTTAAATATTATTCGGTAGTTAAGTTTATTTATTAAGAATTCTTATTGAATAAATTTTTTTATGACCAAATATTTAAATATATAAATAGAGTAGGTCTTGGTCTCTATAATTAATGACAGATGATTATTTTTTAGAGATATAATTCTTTTATAGTCTTTACAATTTTTAAGATTTGCATTGTAGATGTAGAGACGAGAGTGATTTAGGATACTCCGAGTTTTGGTATACATATAATATTTTAAGATATACATGATATCATATTAGTATCTTTCGTGATCTCTACGTTTTATTAGATTATTATTCTTCTCATTCTTAGAGATAGGCTAGGTTGAATTACATTAAATTATGTCTCTTACGTGTTATAATTTTATGTTGAACCCGCTTTACTATTTTTCTCTTCTAAATTCTTAATAAGTGGGATTGTAGTCATGGTTCGAGTTATAGAGTTTCAAAGGAATTTATTACGACGAATTTGGCTAGTGATATTGAAGACTTGCAAGAAGAATTTGCTTCAATGAGTTTCAGTTATAGAGGAGTAATTCTCAATCAATCAGCGTTACTTCACTAAATATTGACTTATATTAAACAAAAATTAAAATTATTGAAGGATTGATGGTAAAATTTCAATAAATATTTAACTTATAAAAAATTGAAGTTGTTGAAAATTTATAGATCAAATTCTAAAGAAATTTATGTTAAGGGAGAGATTGTTAGATATTGATTCAAATTTTAATTAGAAATTAAGTTGGATTTTATTACAATTTTACTAGTTGAAAATTACTTGGTGATTAAGTTTGTTTATTAAGTTTCATTATTCAATAATATTTTTTATGAAAACATTTAATTGCATAAACAAAGCGGATGTCTTAATTTTTACAAGTAATTAGAGAAAATTATTATAGAGAGATGTATTTTTTTATAGTTTATGCAATTTTTGGGATTTACATTGCAAATATAGTTTTATAAAGATATTTAAGAGTGATTTGGGATACTCTATGTTTTTTTATATAGATCAAGTTTTAAGATACACGAGATATTATATTTATACTCTTCATAATCTACATTTATAATGAATTATTTTTTCATCTATGTAAATAAATAAAACTAAACCACGTTAAATCTTGTTTCTATGCATATCTTTTTTACATTAATCTCACTTTGTTTATTTTACACTCCTAAATTTCTAACACTAATTTGAACAAACAAGCCAAGTGTAGATATTTAATTTGATAAAAATAAATATTTAGATACCAAAGTGAGCCTTAAGCTAAGTTTATGTGTCTAATTGGACACACAAATGTTACAATTTTTTTTTTATATAATAACAAAATAATGTATTAGATTTTATATTTTGACTAACACAAACATTTAGAGTAAACTATAAACATAAATAATTATACATTCAATTATGAAATACATTAATTACATATAAATTAATTTAAGTTAACTTAATTTATATTTATTATATAAATAAAATTATTTAAAAAATATTTTTATTTATCTCAATATTAATTTTATATTGTAATTTTTCATGATTAAAGAACATTTAAATAACAAAAATATATCAATGTATATAATTTAGTGTAAAGAAAATAAAATAATATACCATAAAACAAACGATCTGCGAAATCTAATGTCTATGCATAATCTACACGGCATAAACATAAAAATTTTGAAAACCTTAAACATTAAAAACAAACAACACTTAAATCATTTATATTAATTAAAAGGGTAAAAATACGAATGATTAATATGACATTAACCTTAAACAAACACTAAAACAAGAAAGACAAGGATGTACACATCCACTTTTGCAATATTAAACCCTACACAAATCCATAAAATATAAAGTAAAATTCATCAAAAAGGAAAACTAAGCCCTTTCGCCCCTTATACGACGAGCCAATTGAATATCTTTTGGCATTATAGTAACCCTCTTAGCGTGAATGGCGCACAGATTGGTGTCTTCAAAAAGCCCGACCAAATAAGCTTCGGCGGCCTCCTGGAGAGCGGCGACGGCGCTGCTTTGGAATCTCAAATCGGTTTTGAAATCCTGGGCGATTTCTCTCACCAGCCTTTGGAACGGGAGCTTCCTGATTAAGAGCTCGGTGCTCTTTTGGTACTTCCGGATCTCACGTAACGCCACGGTTCCGGGTCTGAACCTATGAGGTTTCTTGACTCCACCGGTAGCCGGAGCTGATTTTCGCGCCGCTTTGGTGGCTAATTGCTTCCTCGGTGCCTTGCCTCCCGTGGATTTCCTGGCAGTCTGCTTTGTACGAGCCATTTTGGATACCGAAAAATAAACTTGTTTGTTTCTTGGGAAAATGAAAGAAACGATTGGGCTGTGAAGTGGGCAGGGAATCGGGGTTTTAAATAGAGGTAAGCAAACAAGCTCGATAGATTTGAAATGGGAATTGAGGGGACCTTTCAATCGGACGGTTGAGGGATGGTGTTGTGAGATTTTGATCCGCGTGAAATGGATTGGACCAATATAATTTTGTTTAGTCAGGCGCCAAAAGATTTTTTTTGAGGGTTTGATACGTGAAACTTTTAAAACAGTCTTATTAGCAAAACCACGATTGTTTGAAAATTTTGAAGCCCATTGAAGAGCAAGCCTATTCTCGTGTGAAGGCCCAAGAAAATATTATTATTAAAAAATAATAAACCAAGTTGGTCATACTTCCCTTTAAGATAAATAAACAAAGGTAGCACTAATCAATTGACTTTTGTGATAAAGGAATTGTTGTTATTTATGAGGATTCATGTTCCAGCACCATAGATGCTAAAGATATGGGCGTTCAATGTCGAAATATTGAGAGTTATCTTTAAACATATACTACTTAATATTTATCACAGATTAATAAAAAAAACAAAAGGTAAAATTATAAAATGTCAATATGATATTTCTACTACATACATACTATTTTTTGTATTATATGTATTTTAGTTATTTTCATGTGTTTAAATTTATTGAACGAATTCATTGATAAAAAATGTTGTTATTCCTAAAGATTCTGAATTTGAGCAATTGTGTCTTATGATGTTTGTGTATTTATTTTTAATTGATTAATTTTTTTGAATAGATATGATATTGTAATCACCCCATACTAATAAAAAAATTATTTTCTTGTGTTTCGGTTGATCTTATTATTTATTATATTATGAGTTTAAATTAATTTAAATTTCTAATATGATTTGCTCAAGCAAAAGAGATAGATCTATTATGCCTAAAAAATTGACTTTTTATTAAATTTCAAATTGTACGAGATATATTGTTTAATTACAAGTAGCAATTCTAACTATGAAACATTGTAATTCTATAAGAAGAGAGAATAAAAAATAGATTTGACCTTTCGGATCCCATTTCACATTGTTGTTTAATTACAACTTTATAATGGTTATTATATACAGTTGTCAACTTGAATTTCAGTCAATTATTAATGCTTATGATATTGGGTTTTCCTTAGTCCGATTATTAATTAAAAGTTGTATCAAGTTGTAAATTATTAAACTAACCAATACAATATAATGATAAGATACATTAAACAAAGTTGCATCATCTTAATATAGAAGCCGATAAAGAAGAGCTATATTGGGAGCAGCGAGCTCGAGCAAACTGGCTCAAGAATGGTGACAATAATACAACTTCCTTCCACATATTTGCTTCCTAACGAAAACCTCATAACTGTTGGAAGCGTAGATGGACTCTCGGTAATTTATAACTCGAACTTTTTATTGATACGAAACAAAATACTTTACAATGACACTACCTCAATATTACAATATTGCAATACTAGATGCGGCTAGTTTACAAACTCAACCTCACTATTTTAAGCTTTGCTAAGCTCTCTCAATTCTCTCTATTTTTTCTCTCGTATATTTTTCTTTTGCCCTCTCACTCTCTTTGCTACAAAATACACACATATTTATATTTGTAATAAACCGACTTAACTTGCTCTGAATGCTTCTCAATTCCTCTCGCCACCTTATGTTTGTAGCAACAATTATTGCTTTCATTAAAAAAATCTTTGCCATACATACTAGTGCATTGTCGAGTTTTTTTTCTTTATTATTAGCATGCTTCCAAAACTAAAAAAAGTTGCTGCCACCTTATAATTTTTTATGGGAAACCTAAGCTTTCTACACTCTTCTTTGAGTTTGACTTCAACACTCCCCCTCAAACTCGACTTTCCATTCCAAGCTTTTCTTTGAGTCGATTTAATATATCTGCTCTCAATGGTTTTGTGAAAATATCTGCTAGTTGATCTTCAATTCTACAGTAAATTAGCTCCACATTTTTGTTCTTCACCTGCTCTCGTATAAAGTGATACTTTGTATCAATATGCTTGCTTCGGCTATGGGAGACTGGATTCTTGGCAAGGGAAATTGTAGACTTGTTGTCGACATAGATTGTAATTGGTTCTTCTTCTGCCAAGTTTAGCTCGTGCAAAATATTCTTTAACCACATTGCTTGACAGGTGCACGCTGCTGCGGCTATGTATTCTGCTTCACATGTTGAAAGAGCTATCGTTTGTTGTTTCTTTGATGACCATGAAAATACTGCAGAGTCGAAATGAAAGAGATATCCAGTTGTGCTTTTCCGATTGTCTAAGTCTCCCCCATAATCACTGTCAGAATAACCAACCATCATCGAATTTTCTGATCGCGTGTAGAATAAGCCATGACTTGTTGTACCTTTGACATAGCTGAGGATTCTTTTTGCTGCAATCCAATGATCTTGTTTTGGATTCTCCATGAATCTGCTTACCAATCCCACAGTGTATGTTATGTCTAGTTGTGTGATAGTCAGATACCTTAGACTTCAAACGATGCTTTTAAACAACGTCGGATTCACTTGCTCTCTTGTTGAATTCACACTTAATTTGATTCCTGGTTCTATTGTAGTGGCTACCGGCTTGCAATCTTCCATTCTGAATTTTCTTAAAACTTCTTCTGCATACTTCTTTTGTGATATAAATATTCCTTCTTGCATTTGCTTCACTTCAACTCCAAGGAAGTATGACATTTCTTCAATATATGTCATTTCAAATTCTTTAGTCATAGCTTTCTTAAAAATCATTGAACATACCTGGATTATTTCCTGTGAAAATCATGTCGTCCACATATAAGCACAAGATCATGATATCGCCGTCTTCATTTTTCTTTGTGTATAAAGCATGCTCGTATGGACTCTTCATAAGCCCATTTCTCTGGAAATATTCATCAATTCTCGTGTTCCATGCTCTCGGGGCTTACTTCAGACCATATAGAGCTTTCTTCAATCGATAAACTTTATCTTCATGTCCCTTTTTAATATATCCAGGTGGCTGCTCAATATAAACTTCTTCTTCTAGGTAGCCATTTAGAAATGTTGACTTCACATCCATTTGATAAATTTTCCATCCTTTTTGTGCTGCTACTGCTGTGAGAAGTCTGAAGGTCTCGATCCTTGCTACTGGAGCAAATACTTCATCATAATCTATTCCTTGTCTTTTCTTATAGCCTTTGACAACTAGCCTTACTTTGTGCTTCTCGACATTTCCTTTTTTATTGGTTTTTGTCTTGTAAACCCATTTTACTCCAATTGGGTTATGGCCTTCTGGTTGTCTTGTTAGCTCACATGTATCATTTCTTTCTATTGATGCAATTTCTTCATCCATTGCATTCCTTCATTTTTCATCTTCAACCGCTTCTTCGTATGTTATTGGATCAATGTTCACAAGTAAGCAAAAAAGTGAAACATTATTTAGTTCATAATCGTTGTACCTTTCTGACATTCTTCTCTCTCTTGGGGATCTTCGAAGTTCTGTGGGAGGTGCTTCAGGATCTTCTATTATGTTGCTGGCATCGCTGCTGCTGCTTGATGATGATGGTACATTTTGTTGAGGACCTTGATCATCAGCTTGTTTATCTTGATTGATAAGATAATTATCTTTAAAAAATAGTCCTTCAACTTTCTTTTCCTCTTTGCTCCATCTCCAATAGTTTGCTTCATCGAACTCGACATCTCTTGAAATAATTATCTTCTTGGTAAGAGGATTATATAATCTGTAAGCTTTGCTTCTTTCATCATAGCCAATGAAAATACATTTTTCTTCTCTGTCATCAAGCTTCTTTCTGGTCTGTTCAGGAACGTGGGCATATGCGATGCATCCAAAAATCTTGAGGTGTCCAACTCCTGGTTTTTGTCCACTCCATGCTTCGTTTGGCGTCATATACTTCACACTTTTTGTTGGACATCTGTTCAATAGATAAACTGCACATCGAACTGCTTCAGGCCAAAAATTTCTCGGTTGTTGTTTGCCCTTTTATCATGCTTCTTGCCATGTCCAGGATTGTGCGGTTCTTTCTTTCTGCAACTCCATTTTGTTGTGGCGTGTATATAACTGTCAGCTGATGGATGATGCCATGCTCTTTGCAGAATTCTTCAAATAACTTTGATGTATATTCGCCTCCTCTATCTGATCTGAGTATCTTCAAATATTGACCACTTTGTTTTCCGCAATTGCTTTGAATTCTTTAAATTTTTCCAGCGCTTCTGACTTTTCTTTCAAGATATAAATCCAACATTTTCTACTAAAATCATTAATGAAAGTTAGGTAGTACTTGTTACCTCCAAGAGATGGTATGCCAAAAGGACCAGATATATCTGTGTGTACTATCTCTAGTGGTCTTTGGGCACGCCAGGATCTACCAACGTCAAAGCTTTGTCTATGTTGCTTTCCTTTGATGCAAGCCTCACATAATTGATTTGGAGGGTTGATCTCTGGTAGTCCTTTCACCATGCTTGTTTTTTATAACAACTTAAAACCAGAAAATCCAAGATGTCCATATCTTAGATGCCACAGCCATGAATCATCTTTGATCGTGGTCTTCAAGCACTTGATTTCTCCCGACTCGATATCAATTGTAAAGAGACAATTTCGAGTCATAGCAGCTTGGGCTATCAATTCTCCTTCTTTATTTTTGATGGCAAGTGAGCGATTCTTCATCTGCACTTCATATCCTTTTTCCAGGAGTTTACCAAGACTGATGATATTGCTTTTCAAAGCAGATACATAATAAACATCTGAAATGTATTTCTTTTCTCCATTTCTCTGAGTAATCATGATTTCGCCTTTTCCTTTTATTTCTGCGTGCGAGTCATCTCTGAATGTTACTCGTCCTTGAATTCTTCATTTCCTTTATAAGTGAGGAATACGTGAGATTTTTCAATTTTTCCTTCTTCAGCTGCTGCTACGTTATTTCTTTCTTCTTGTTTAGGAGCAGATCTACACTCATAACTATAATGACCATACTTATTACAATTATAACATTGTA